GGTCAAATATAATTTCCTTCAACATGCCATTTATGCTTTAATGAGTTCAAATCTTTTTTTTATAGCTGATTTGTCTCTCTAGCTCTTTAATTTCAGGCTATTTTAGGCTGATGCTTATGGTTTGTCAGTGATTAACTGATTCTATGCCCCACAAAACAACTGAGGCGTGTGTGCGTGTGTGCGTGTGTGTTGGCATACAAAGTAAAAAACATTTGTTTGAAATATCAGTTTTGAATAAATTCTACCTTTCTTTTCTGAATGTTTTTTTTATTTTTATGGACCTTTGAATTAAAACTGCTGTTTTTTTGTGGCAAACATTTCAGTGCATTGGTTTGGTGTGTAAATACAGTTTTGTGTACATGCGTTTACTCTGTTCTGTACAAGGATCTGTATTTCATGTTTTTACCTTGTTTCTCCATCTTAGTAATAAAACGAGGTGGGCTGTCAGCAAAATGTGGATGCCTTTGTGTTTTATTTTATATGTTAACATGAAGATGCCAAATAACAGTCAAAATGTGTTAGCTGTGGTCGCATTGGGTCATCTAAGTGTTGCAAATAAATTTGGGTGTGTCCGTACGAGAATGAGAAAAACACCATTTAACATGATTTGATGAACCATGTCATGTTCACGAATCAGCTGAATCCTATAGGAAGCTTAACTGGCTATTTATAAGTGCACAACAAATTGTTTTGATTGCTTCAAACATCACATGGACTATAAGGCATCACATGGTGCACTGGCTGTTCAGTAAAAAATAAAGAAGTGTGGTCTTTTGAAACCCTAAGTGATGAGACAGCTAAGACGTGGTCATTATACTGTTTCCAGCAGTGGTAAGCTGTAGAAAAAAAGCGCTCTATGGTGAGACGTTAAAGGCTAGAACTCGAAATCCGTCTGACGTGTGGCTTTCCTCTCACCTTTAAAATACATTCTCACAGTTATCTCATTGTATTTTGGGTTTTTTTTATGTCTTATATTTAGCAGTTGCAATGCAGCTACACTGCTGCAAGAGTGCTCTGTGTAGCATGCAAAGTAGGGGTTCACTTGACATTAAGCTTGGGATGTTTGTTCTCAACAAATAGCGTTTTCCTATTAACTGCATTAATATAATTTTAGACCAAATTGTGTACTTAAGGCTGGGTGTCTTTATAGCCTCTGACACTAGTTTCCTGTCACATTATTCTTACCACACAAATCTGACAGGAAACAACACCAGTGCAATGGTGCGTGCTCTTAAACAGTTCAAATAGGAGGAACAGAAACTGCTTTCTGGCAGAGACATCCTGGGGTTAAGACATTTCATTGTTATTTATCTGATTATGTGTGCATTGATAGACTTAGAAAAAGTTCTGAAGCACATTTGGACCATATGTCTCTTGATTTAAAAACAAGTTTCGGTTGAGCGGTGGAGCAGAGACAGAAACACTGCAGACAAGACAGCCACGTGTCCTTAGTAATAACCCTTTATAGGCTCAAAGTTTGAAAGGTGTGGAGGAGAAGGGGTGCCTGTCCTCAGGAGGATCAACTCTTAAAATATGTGACACTTTGTGACAGCAAGATACAGTGTCATACAACAACATTTAAGCAACACAGCTTTGGGAACAGATTTCCCTGATTGTTCTTGTTTATGAATGCCGCCATCAGGACAAAGTTCCCACATAAACACAATTAATATCAATATGTATGCACACCAAGAGATAGAGAAACATTTACAGAAAGAAGACGGGATAGTTCCCAAGCTGCATTAGGCTAGCTTGGCACCATGGTATATGAGGTTTCTCAAGGTGAAATAAAAGTTAAATCAATACAGCTTTCCTCAGATCATTTGCTGTCACACGTATTAGGTCATTGGTTCATATAGGATGATTAGCTTTCTATAGCAAAACAAAAGCAACATCACCAAATTACAGCGTGTCATACTGCAGGTTTGTTTGATTTTAAGGCCTCTATAACGCTGCGTGGCATGTACCCAAAATATCCCTGTGAGTAAGCGCTGATAGTGCTTGCAGGCCTGTTTCCACAGGGTCTACATGCACTGACGAAGCAGACACCACACGTCCAACTGTTGTGTCTTTGCTCTGTTTGTGTCCTGCTCTGAGTTACGTATAAAATAAATAGAAGAAACATTAGACACCACAACTGTCTAGGTGTCACTGACCTCTGTGTGCTGCAGGTATGTGTCTCTGAGTGTGTTGCAATGCCAAACAAGTATTCTGGTATTTGTCTGTAACATTTGCATTTTATGTTTGGAAATGTTCCTTCACTGGGATAAAAACTACTGTTTAATGGATAGATCACCTCTGGCAGCCCTGCAGGCTAATGAAAACATTTATCACTAGCCTGCAAAATAGTGAAAATGAAAACTCCCAAGAAACTGGTTTGGGCCAAGCTGGTGAAAGTCAATTATGTGTTTAGTGGCACGCTACAAACATACATCTTACAGACTCAATGTTAATTATTACGTGATAATTCAGGTTAATCCATGTTTTTTATTATTATTTCTAGTTTAAATCTGTACAATGTGAATGTATGTTTTGTGATTTTTCTGTACACTTTTTCAAGATGAGTAAAACCAATATTACAGACTTTATGTGAATTTTAATAAAGCATACATTAGCTGAGGGATCAGTGGGAGATATGTGTAGCCTTTTGAAACAAATGGTTGAAGAAGGGTAAGACAAGTGCTCCCTCTAGAGGAATCTTCAGGAAGCAGTTTTATCTGACTAATATGAACACTGGCAATGTCCTGGAAGGGTAGACCGATTGTTTTCAGTGACAGTCACCTGGCATTATCTTACTTGCTGCTAGAAAAGAGATTAGGAGCAAACCCCTTATAATGTAACCTTATTTAATAACCCCTGTGTACAAAGGCTGAGTTCTCACCACAGGGGCCCATCTTCCAACCAGCAACCCTTTGCTGCATGTCATCCCCGCTCTCTCTCCCCACCTTCCTGTCACTCTTCAGCTGCTCTATCAAAGTAAAGGCAATAAAAAGCCCAAAATAATCTTGAAGGCACTGCATGATTAGGGAGGTATTTTACATATTGCGTATTTGTTGCTGGAAATGTTTTCAATTGAATAGAAGACACATTTTCAAGAAGAGATCAGTAGAATCTGTCATAGCCAGAATGAGATCAAAGCCAGGATATGACTCAAAACCTTGAGTACTTGAATGTATGCAACCAATCCCACTGTCATAGCTGGGTTCACTGTTAGGCTCTTTAGTGTCAGTGGGAGAAGGCTTATTTCAGAGTTGTATATAATTCAAATATATATATATATACATCATTTGAATGCAGTGTTGTTATTTTAAAACTAGAGATCACTGCTGAATCAGACTTAATGAGGGAAAACCCGTCATATACCATCCACAGACAAGTTTGTTTGTTTTAATTCATTATTTTGTCACATGCAAAATTATTAAACTTTGTGGAAAGCAAAATTAACCTTGCAACAATTGGCCAACAGTTTACCAAGAAGAGGATGTGCACTAGATCTCAGATTAATCTCTTTTTATGAATTCTGAAATGAATCATTCCTTGGTCATGAGAGATGGATCAACACTGTGAATAAATGACAGCAATGCATGCAACACAAATTTCTGAGACAGTGGATATTGAAACATGTTCTAGTCTGATGAGCTTTATAGACTTGTTGCTTTAGTGTGTCTGTTCTCCTCCTCCCTCTACCATAGAGCGTCTGTTTTACCTCTGTTTCATACTGCACGTTACATTTTCACATCACATCAAACTATGTTATAAAAAGGCCGCAGTGTGTGGGTTGCACCATGTCAGGGTTCCAGCTGTGGTGCTGGATGTTTTGTACTTGTGTATGCCTGAATTTGGTCATATATAGGAGTACTCTTTCTAAGTTGTAGGCATGTACAAAGACAGTTGAATGCATGTTTCATCACAGCTGCTAAATGATTTGTTTGTAGATGTTGTTAAAAAGTCAAATCACCATAGTATCTCTGGCTCAACAGCTAGAGGAGGTTGGTTGTAAACTGCAGGTTAGTGGTTTAATCGCCAACTTCTGAGCAAGATACTGAAGTACAATAGCCATTTTTCACAGTAACCATTTTGACATGAAATAGTAGCGTAAACCCTAATTAAGGTGCTGCCATACTAAATGGAATGGAACCTTAAACTTATCATTGATAACACATTTACCCTACTGCACTATTAATACTGTACAGTTTCACATACACATATATATAATTTCCTACATACACATTATTAGTATTAGACCTGTACTGTATAGCATATCCCTGTCTAGTCTATATTTTCTGCTAAATGACTGCTGTATATATATTTTTTGTCCTGTGAAATCATTTATTTTCACACAATGCCACTACCTCCTGCTGTAACATGTGCAATATTCTATAGCAAAAACATCTGTATACAAGATAAGATCTACCTTTATTGATCCCCCGTAGGAGAAATTCAAATTAGACACAGCAGCATAAGGGAATGTAGTGCAAGAGTACAGAAGTGGAAGTACAATAAGATATCACAAAATATAATAGAAAATTAAGACTATAAATTAAATGTATTTACACTATATGCAATATGCAAGTAAAAATGGTGTGCAAATATTTGAGCAGCAAATTATTAATAGATTAAATACTATCGTTTACTCTACACGACAACTAAATTCATATTTGCAGAGTGATTCAAGTAGTTAAATTACTTTTTCCCCTTCATTTTCTGTGTAGTTAACTACTGAAACTACAAACAATTTTGGGCTATAAAAAGGAAAACACTGTAATCCTGCTTGGTGCAGT